AGGCAGGCCTGAACCATGCCAGACTGAGCTGAACCTGCCCGAGCAGCCGGTGAGCCGGGGAATGGGAGGGGAGACGCCCCGCGGCCACGGGATCAGGCAGGTCAGGGCTCGGCATGGTCCAGCGCCAGCGGGTTGGTGTCACTAACGCGGGTTCTTGGGCACGCAGCACGGTGGGGCGCGGGCGCTGCGACTGTTGCCTGAGCTGGCTTCACAGGGGGGCTCTGGGAAGAACTGTCACATGCCTGTACCCCATGGTGTGTGTCTGGCGTCCACTGTGGTTTTCCCTGTGTCCATCCACCAGTGGAGGGGAGCTGCGGGCACTGCTGGTGCCGAAACAGCCCCGTGCCAAAACAGCCCCATCCCCGTGCTCTGGGGAAACTCCTTTGCCTGCCTGAACTGTTGGGATCCCCCCGGGCGTGCACTGACAGCCTGCAGAGAGCTTTGCCAAGGGCTCCTGCGTGGCTGTGGGCAAGGGGCCCTTTCCAGAGAAGGAAACGGGACTGCGTTCAGGTAATGGCTGTATGAGAGGGCGTCGCAGTCACCCTCTGGCCTTCTCTGAGGCTGGAGAAGCCTGGCTCTGCTTCGTTCACTCCCGCGTGGTCGGACACGGCTGTGCCGTGGTTTGCAAGCTAATCGCGGCACTGCAGCAGTGGCGCAGGAGCTGGCTGCTGGCTGAGCCTCCCCGGCTCCGGCAGCTTTCAGGACGCAGCACAGAGGCCCTACTGAGCATCCAAAGATGCCGTTCCCTGAAGGGGGGTTTCAAGGTAATTGCAAATCGTTCCCTGTAGCAAAGTCATGGAAAGGTGCAGCAGCCCCTCGGTGAACTGAGTCTCATTTCTGTGCCGTGTGTCTGAGCTCCTGCAACCCCGGCTTCACTGCTGCCTGAACAGGTTCGAGGGGAACCGAGGGAGTCGCTGTCAGCGCTGGGCTGCTGCTGACTCACTGCCCAGGTAGTGCCGCCCTGCGCTGGTGCTCGAGCTGGGCTGCCACACTGGCCAGCGCCGTGTGACAGACTGGGGGAGCGGGCTGGCCCCTAGGGACTCGGTGTTCGGAGCGAGCCTCCGGGCACCTGCGGTGCTCTGGCATCCGGCTTCCAGCATGGTGAGAGCGCTCGGACGAGGCGATGATCTCGTGCCACACGCTGCTGATGGCGTTGGGGGGTGCAGGGCGAGCTCCTTCCACCAGACACTGCTCAACCATGCTGACTGGGAACTGTCAGCACTCGGAACCCCCAGCAGCAAAGGCTACATCGAAGCACTCTGGTTCTTTGGTCTTGCCGTGTCCCCTGGACCTATCTGAGCTGGAAAGAG